CAAACCTGTTTGTTCTCCTAGCAGTTGATGATATATTCAATACTTTTCTCCATCACCACAACTCAAAGGCACCAATTCTCCTTTCATCCCTAGTCTTTGTCCACCTTTTTGATGCATAGCAAGTAATTGCAAAGACCATAGCCCAGATCAAGTGCACCTTAGTCTCCAGACTGGTAGCATTGCTCTTTAGTACTCTAGAGAAGTCCTTGACAATTTTCCCAATGCAATTCGTCTTTTGATTTCCTAGCTGCTGGTGCCAAGAGTATTGATTGTGGAGCTAAACAAATTAAAGCTGTTAACAATCTCAGTCTCTTCACTGTCATGATGCTTCCAATTGGTCCAGTGGTGAGAATCTTTGTTTTCTTGATGTTGAGCTTCAATCCAAATGCCTCAAGTCTTTCTCAGTTTCAGCAAGGAAGGTTGTGTCATCTGCATAAAGAAGGTTGTTGATGAGTCTTCCTTCAATACTGATGCCACATTCCTCCTCATAGAACCTACCCTCCCTGATGATCTGTTTTGCATATGGTTTTAAAAGGTAGGGAGATTTGATGCATCCCTAGTTTATACCTTTCCTAATTTTGAACCATGAACTGTTTCCTTGCCCTGTTCTGACGACTGCCTCCTGATCCAAGTATAGGTTTCACATAAGCACAGTCAAGTGTTTTGGGATTCCTATTCTTCTCAGAGTTAAGCCACAATTTGTTGTGATCTATACAGTCAAATACTTTTGCATCTTGTACTCTCTGCTTTTAGCCAAGATCCATCTAACTTTGGCTAATATGATTACTGCCACAGCTTCTTCTAAACCCAGCCCGCACATCTGGCAGTTAGTTCTCTGTTGATGTCCTGTTTTAGTCTTTTCTTTTTTTTTTTTAATAATTTTCAGCAGGATCTGGCTTGCATGTGATAGTAATGATATTGTTCATTAATTTCTACATTCTGTTGGGTCACTTTTTTTTAAAGTGTAATTTCCATTTTCTTTTCAGACGAGTTTTTTCTTCAGCCTTTTAAGGAATCAAATCCTTACATAGGCTTTGGTGGTGGTCGTGGGGCAGCATCTGCAGGTCTAAATCTAGGTGGAGGTGTCCGGTCCTTTCGGGCTTCACGAGAACGGTTCCTCACGACCTTGCTGTGAATGGCACAACTCACACAGTAGTGCAGTTTCACATCGAGCTTTGGAAGCACATAGGCGTCGAAAACACTCGCTTCGGAAATGTCCCTGACAGCAGCTGCCTCTACTATATTTCGGATTACGAACTTCTTAATTGCCTTGTCTTTGGGCATGCACCGGGGGCAGTTCGTGCAGCGAACAGGCTGCACGTGGCCGCAGCCCTTTTTGGCACGACCGTTGTTTCTCCTTTTCTTCATCATGTTGGAAGCGAGGATCCGAGAGGACTTTTTATTTTTTATTTTTTTTTTTAATAATGGGAACAAATACAGATCTCTTCCAGTCAGTTTGCCAAGTGGTTGTCCTCCAAATTTCTTGGCATAACTTGGTGAGTGGGTCTAAGGCATCGACTCTTTGTTGAAATATGTCAATTGGTATGCTATCAGTTCCTGAGGCCATGTTTTTTTTACATCATTCCTGCAGAGTGGCTTGAATTTTCTCCTTCATCACCACAGGTGCTTGATATGTTTCATGAATTTCTTCTGTGTCCAACAATTCCTTCTGATACAGTGACTCTGTGTACTCCTTTGATCTTCTCTTAATGCTTCCTAGATCGTTTAATATTCTACCCTTAAGAATTGTAACTTGAGGGTTGAATTTGTTCTTCAGTTCCCTTACCTTAAGAAGTGCCAAGAGGATTTGTCCCTTTTGGTTTTCTGACTCCAGGTCTTTGTACATTTCAACGATTGTTAGGTGGATGCTGTATGCCAAATAATAGGCTAACATTTCATGAAGTAAAATTGCATAAGGGAATGATTGAAGGGTAAACCTAACAAAATGCATTCACAAAGTATATTCCATTTAATTTTAAGTTTCTGAAAGAGTATAGTAGTTATTGCAATAAAAGTAATCTTATAGAGAGCTCAGGTGGCCTAGTGGCAAGAAGCTGCACTGCAATCCCAAAGGTGTATGGTTTGAGTCTACCAGATGCGCCGCTGGAGAAGGAGGGTCAATCTCCTGTACCAGTCAGATCCGATTTGACAGTACACACACAAAAAGTTAATGAAAGTTTTAAAAGAAAGTAATACTACTGCATAGAAAAATTAGCCAGTGGTAAATATAAAATGGCAAGTATGAGGGAAAGTAGGTAATGCTAATGGGATGGTTAGATAAAGGAGAATGGTAGTTGTTCTGTACCGTCCATGCTCCTACCTGGCCCTCCAGTGAGTTTTCAGGGAATGCAAATCACACAGGAAGAGATAGCCTTTCTTGCCCATGTGGTGCCACTGGTAGATTTGAACTGCCTATCTTTTTGGGATTTAGCAGCTCAACTGTATACTCACTGAGGTGTAAAAGCTTATGATCGAGAGTCCACAAAATGATGTAGGAAAAAAACCCACTAGTGAATTAGAAAATGTCAAAGTAATGACTTTGTACAGTTATTCATGTGGTTGCTAAGCTGGTTAAAAAATGTCAAGAAATGCTTGTTTTGTGAAAGTATTGTAAGTGAAAATCTCTAGAAAGAATCACAGTCTAGTAAAACAATGTAACAGCTGTAAATAAAACTGTGCTTAGAAGAGAGGGAATGATTTTATTGGTGGGAATGAGTGAAATCACCGCAGGCGGCTCATTGTAAATTGTTTTAAAGCTGTTTTAGCTTTAAATAGTCATTTTATCTGACTTAAATTACTTATTTTAGTGTATTGCTGATGTTAGGTAAGAATCTCGAAGTCTTAGGAGTTACTTTTTTTTTAGGAGTGACTTTTTAAAACAATAATTTTCAAGTCAAACTTTGATTAGGCAGCTAATGTTCAAAATTACATCATTCTTGTACTGAAAAAGAACTTTTTTTAATTTGAGAAAGATTTTTTTACTTTCCTTGTACTTTTTTTCTTACTATGTGTCTAAAAAATGGCTAAAAAAGCCACCACCACACTATGTTATTTGTAGGCTTGCTGTATCATTTCTTCTCTCTTTTCACAGGTGATTTGTCTCCATGGTATCTCTTCTGTAATTTTCTTGTGTCCTTTTATGTTCTAGCTTGAATGAAAATGCAATATAAGTTGTAAACTTAGTTTTTTTTTTAAAAAATGAAGTTTTAACTTTTTTACTTACATTGTTTATGCGACCCTATTACAACAGCGCTAAACCCTGCTCTATCCTGTGTGAATATTATTGTCTCTGATACATCTATCCCCATTACCCCAGTCACTGAGTCAGTCTATCTCATCGAGGGTCTTCCTCTCCTGCTCTGTCCCTCCACCCTTCCAACCATGATGTCCCTCTCCAAGGACTGGTCCCTCCTTGCAATGTGTCCAGGGTATGTCAGACAGAGCTTCAGAATCCTTGCCTCCAAGGAGCAGCCTGGTTTCACCCTTTCCAGGACAAACCTGTTTGTTCTCCTAGCAGTTCGTGGTACATTCAATACTCTTCTCCAGCACCACAGCTCAAAATTTATCGAGGACTTAAAACTAAGTAACTGGCTTCTTTTTGCTTCCTGGAACCTGTAAAAATGAAAAATTATATAAGAAAAAAAATCATGTAAGACAAGTGTTTTAAACTTTGTTGTTAGGTACTATAGAGTTCATTTTCCCCAACATCATATTGTTTTTCAAGAATTGGCCCCTCCTGACAACTACTCAAAGAGGGTGCGATGAAGTCTCACCATCCTTACCTCTGAAGAACACTGTGCTTACCCTTCCTCTGAGATAGATTGGTTGGTTGTGACTATCCATGAGTTAGTCAGTATTCTTCTGCAATACCACAATTCAAAGCCATTGATTTTTCTTCTATCTTCTTGATTAATAAAGCAACTTTTACAAGCATATAAAGCAATGGAAAATGTAATGGCTTTGGTCAAGCCCGCTTGTCTTCAAACTGACATCAGTGTTCTTTAGCATTTTCCAGGGGTCCCTGACAGTAGATTTGTCCAGTGCAATATGTCCTTTCTCAGAGTTCTGGTGGCAAGAAACTGCGTTGCAATCCATTGGCACAGAGTTAAAATCCATCAGCTGCTCCGTGGGAGAAGGATGGGCGATTTCCTCCCGTGTAGCTAATTGCCTCTGAAAACCCACTGGAGGGTCAGCTATGGGTTGGTTCCAACTCTACAGTGCACAATAAGGATAAACAATATGTCCTTTGATTTTTTTTTGGCTGTTCTTACCATGAGCGTTAATTGTGGATCCAAGTAAAATTAAATCCTTGATTATCCATTTAGCTTTTTGCCCCTCTCCTGTAATAACTTTTCTAAGATTTATATAACATTTTAACAAAAAAATAAGATTGTAAAACTCTGATAGTAGAAGTCTGTCTTGACATTTCTGCTTAGCCATACTCTAGCAGATTTTTACTGTCCCTCTGAACTATCATCCAAACCAAACCCAAACCACTGCTATCCTCTCAATTCCAACTCACAGTGATCCTACATTAGATGTCTAAGACTTATTTGTAGAGGCCTCTAGTAGCTTAGTGGGCAAGGAGTTACACTGCCAACCCAGAGGTATGCTGTTCAGATCTCCTTCTGGAGTCTCAGCTTTAAGTCAATTCTGCTTTGAACGGTACACGATAGCACTAATATATCTTGTGGGTGGAGACTACCTTTCTCCCGTAGAAGCAGTTAGTGGGTACTAACTGATGAACAACACTTAATATACTGTGCCACCCGAGTGCCTTTGAACTATCATTAACACCGTGTAAAATGTCTGTTACAGCACTAGTCTCAAAGGTTATAATTTTTTGTGCCTATTTTCTGATAGATTTGAGAGTAAGGATATTTATACATGTCTCCAGTGCCAGTACTATGCTAACTTGTTGTAGGTGATCGATGCATGTTTGATACTGATCATTACATGTTAATTTAATAAAATAAATGTCTCAGTGTAACTTTTTTTAGGTAAATTTCATCTGATTTCCAAGTTAGGAAGAGTGGAAAAAAGTGTGGAAGCCCACTGTGGAGCAGTGCTTTCAGCGAGGTGGAATTATGAAGGAACAGCACTGGTCACAGGTGAGTGTTTGCAGAAATGCTAGTATAAATGTATTTGTCTTTGAGAAAATTTTCCTAAGAATATTTTCATTTAGCAGTGTCTGTCATTCACTCTCAAGTAGCAAATACATGGTATTTACTCTGGCCTAACTAGTATAAATGTTGTTGTTAGGAATATCATTAGTTTTCTCTGCAATTAATGAATATTCAAAGAAGACTTTGCTAGTTAAGTAGGGAGAAAACATTCCTCTTTAGTAGAAACTTACTTTCTTATATTTTCTGAACCCTTCCCTATTGCTAAAGATTTAAATCTTTATTGATTATATTGTTCTGTAGCATAATAAATTACATTTAGCAACCTAAAATAATAAACATGCATTAGTTCACAATTTTGTGAGTCAAATAGCTGTTTAGATAAGTTAGTGTCGATCATGATGTTAAGAGTCAAGATATTGGCTGGGCTGGCAGCCGTGAAGGACTAATGTTTGGGACTAGGGTCACCTTCCAGGGGGGCTCATTCACATGGCTATTGCTAAGAGACATGAGATTTTTTTATTAAATGGTGTTAGGAGATCTCAGTTACTTGCCATACAAGTCTCTGTATGAATTTTCTTACAACATGGCAGCTGGCTCTTCAGACAGAATGATGTAAGGGAGAAAAAGATGGGAGCCACCATAATATTTATTACTTACTCTCAGATGTCATATATCATCATTTCTACTGTATTTTCTTCACTGGTAGGTCACTAGGTACCTGGCCCTGCATTTAAGCTCCATTTTTTGAAAGAGGACTAACAGGGAACTTCTGGACATGATTTAAAATCATCACTGCTCACCCTTTGACTGTTCTCTTAGACCTTTTCTTAGTTAGTTGTTGCTTGAACACCTGCATCTCCAACTACTCCTTTGTTTTTAAGTATATGACTATTTACTTATTGCCCATTTAAAGAAAAAATGAAGCAGAAATAAAAATTTGTCCCTTAAGAGAACAGTTATATCCAGAGACAACTTTTTTGTTTTTTCCTCTTTTTTAAAAAGCCTATCTGTGTTGATTTGTTGTTTTTTTTTTTAAATAGTCTGCTATTTCATTCAGTCCCCTAACTCGCTGGGAATTATTTGCAACTCTTATTATACTGAAAATACTTTTGCTTGAATTCCAAGATAGAAATTGTGGTCAAAATAGAAGCATTATTTGACAAATATAATTGTTCTTTTTGACAGTTGTTGTTGTTGTTATGTGCCATCGAGTCGTTTCCGACTCATAGCGACCCTATGCACAACAGCTCTAAACCCTGCCCTATCCTGCGCCAACCGCACTGCCTCCGACACACCCATCCCAATTACCCCAGTCACCGAATCAATCCATCTCATAGAGGGTCTTCCCCTCCTGCGCTGTCCCTCCACCCTCCCAAGCATGATGTCCCTCTCCAAGGACCCGTCCCTCCTGGCAACATGTCCAAAGTATGTCAGACGAAGCCCCAGAATCCTTGCCTCCAAGGAGCAGCTTGGTTTAATCCTCTCCAAGATGGATCTGTTTGTTTTCCTGGCAGTCCATGGTACATTCAGTACCCTTCTCCAGCACCACAGCTCAAAAGCATCCACTCTCCTTCTGTCCTCCCTAGTCATTGTCCAACTCTCTGATGCATAACAAGCGATTGCAAATACCATGACCTGTATCAGGCGCACCTTAGTCAGTTATTTGACAATATTGAAGAAAAACGGTATTGAAGAATTTTTTTAATAGTCAGATAGATACATGCTTGATTTTATCCTGTAATCTACAGATTAATAATTCATGTTAATACATAAAATCCAGAGACCTTTTTGAAATGATATCCTGATACAGAAATAGTAACAAAGTTACAAAGGATAATGATCTGATGGAACCATGTGGTCTCCCTGGAGAGAGGAGGACTGAGGCAAGTTGTAGAAAAGAAGCTTTCTACAGTATAAAAAACAGTTTGGTTCCAGGCTGCCAATCCTGTCTTTACTGACTGAAGGCTTTACCAAAACGCTCCTTCTGGCCTCTTTTAGAAAAACCAGTTTTAATTGTGGAAGTTAGGCTAGTCTGATGAAAATTATGGTTGAATCTTAAGTATGGAATAATATAGATATTATTGATATTTATATCCAAATTTAATGTTGAAATTTAAGATACATACTTTATTTCTCTTTATAGTTGGAGAAGATGGACAAATAAAAATCTGGTCAAAGACTGGGATGCTGAGATCAACCTTAGCTCAACAAGGTATGTCTTACAATAAATTTTCTTTTTACTGTTGTTACTAACATTATCATGTCGGTGCTGTTTAGTTGCCTCTGACTCATAGTGACTCTGTGAACAATGGATATGCTCTTTCCTGTGCCAACCTCATCATTTCTAATGTACTTGAGCCCATTGTCAGTCACTGTGCTGTCCATTGTGTTGAGGGTCTTCCTCTGTTTTGCTGACCCCTCACCTTTCCCAGCATGATTTCCTTTTCAAGGACTGGGCCCTCCTAACAACATCCCCAAAATATGTGAGACAGAGTTTCACCATCCTTGCCTCCAGTAAACTCCCTTACACTGGCTGTACTTTCTCCAATACATTAATACAATATAAAAATGTATTAATAGCTTTCTTTAAAAACAGTCTAATATAGTTCTGGAGGCTGAATTTAATAGGTTTCAAAACAGGAAACCTATTATTTCTTTTTACACTTTTCCTTCTTATTTTCCATGTTGGCATTGGATAAGCTATAGTATTCCAAGAATTATTAGAAATACAGCCTTTAAAAAAAAATTCCTTATTCAGTAGAAGGCAATTATAGGCAAAATAAGTCTGAAGTTTTCAAACTCAAATAGGGTTGTGTTTTATTCATGTAAATAAAAATGTGAGAAAATGTCATAACAGCATCATTTCTTTTAAATTATGTTTTGTGTTTGGTTCCTGTACTAATAGAAGGCAACAGATATACTGATGATTCAAATATTGCTAAATAAAAAACTATTTAAGAGCATCTTAGTTTTCCATGTTAGTGGAAAGAAGTAGTCTGCTGGCTGGAAAGCACTCAGTTAAAATCCACTGGGTGCAATTTACTGCCTCTGAAAACTGCTGCAGGGTCAGCAGCGGCTTGATTCTGACTTGACAGTATACAACAACAATTAAGATTTGGACTAACTGTGCTTTATTTTTTTTTCTGGGAAGCAGTTTTAATATGGATCTTAGTATATACTGGTTGGTTTTTGTGAACAGATTACCAAAAAACTTAGAGACTATTCTTTAGAATTATAAATTTCATTAAAGTTCTGTCATGAAACTTTTCTGATAACTGGGCTGTCTAAAATCTTCGTTCCTTTATATTTTTTCTTTTAAGATAATGTTAAGATAACTTACATTTCTCTTAGCATATTCACCAAATGTTAGCCAAGATAACCAGCAATATTGTGGTGGTGTTATGTGCTGTTGGGTTGCCTGGGTCTTAGAGTGGCCCTCTGTTCAGTAGCAGTGAATCCTGTCCTATCCTGAGCCATTCTCACTGTCTCTGTCTGACACACTTACCCTTATTACTCCAGTTACTTCGTCAGTCCATCACATCCAGCAATATTAGATCATGATTATTTCCCAAGGTCCTATCATTCCTATGGGTAATTTCAGAGCAAAAATTAACCATAAGTAGCAAATTTAGAGTTGATAAAATTATTTGTGGATAAATTTCACTTAGGAAAAATGAATTCTAAGTTTATTTTTACCTTATTTTTGTTAAGTGCTGTTGAGTCGAGTATGACTCAGAGCAACTCTATGAACAGCAGATCTGAACCCTGTCCTGTCTCGTGCCATCTTCACACTTCCTGACACACCAGAGCCTATTGCTGCATCTTCCTCTCCTTTGCTGCCCTTCCACCCTTCCAATCATGTCCCTCTTCAAGGAATAGCCCCCTTCGCAAGATGCCCGAAGTATGTGAGGCAAAGCCTCATCATCCTTGTCTCCAAAGAGCACTCTGACTGCATTTTATTCAAGACATATTGATTTGTTCTTTTGGCCATCCATAGGATAGTCATTGCTTTTCTCCAACACCACAGCTCAAAGACATCAATTATTCTTCTGTCATCTCTGTTCATTGTCTAACTCTCAGAGCATAGCAAATGACCAGTATAACTGGCCTGAATCAGACACACCTTAGTCCTCAAACTGACATCATTACTCAGTATTAATACTATGTAAATTAAGAAATTAATTTAGATAAATATATTTATTAATACATTTACTTTATTAATAAAAATAAAATAGGAAGCTCTGGTTGCTTAGTGGTAAAGAATCACACTAGCAGTGCAGTGATATGTGGTTAAAATCCACCATCTACTCTGTAGGAGAAAGATAGGCAGTCAATTCTCATGTGATATACTGCCTCTGAAAATCCACTGGAGGGTCAGGTAAGGGTTGGTTCCAACTCTACAAGTACACAACTTCAACAACAATAAAATGTGTCTTTAAAATTACTTTTACTTTAATTTTGTAGTGAAAGATGACTTTTGACTTTATAGATTTTCATGTTTGCCTAATTATTTGGCATTCAAATTGTTGTTTCTTACCCATGAACAATTGATGGAATTCCTCCAGAGCTTTCTGTCCCCATGAAAACACTGCAGGAACGTTCAGTCATAGGATTTGGATCTGTGTTTCAGCTCTTTGTGCCCTGACATTTATATTCTCTTTCTTATCCTTCCACCAAGTTTATGGCTTACAGAAGGCAGAGATTTTCAGATAAATTCTCAAGGCATATCCTACTTACGAAAGACACCAGTGTGCTTTCCATGGTGCTTCCGGGGCTCCTCTGCTTCTGCTCAAACTCAATGCAATGGAGTCGCTTCTGATCATAGTAAACCTTACATGTAAATTTTCACTTGCATTATGAACTCTCTTAGAGTTAGCGTCATATTTTTTGTTGTTAGGTGCTATCAAGCTAGCTATTCTTAGTGAACCTATGAATAATAGAACGGAACCTTTTCTGTATTGCACCATCATACCAATCTCTGCCATTTTCAAGTTCATTGCTACTGTCATTGTCAGTCCATATCATTGAGCTCTTTTTCACTGATTTTCTCAACACGATATCTTTATCTAAAGACTAATACTTAAAAATCATCCTCATTTTTATCTTTCTGATGAAATATTATTATGTCAATTCATCCTATTTGCAATTCTCTAGTAAGCCAGCTGGGAGTGTATTTATTAATGTAGAAAGATTTCTGCCTTCTTGGAGCATTATACTATCTACACCATAGTACTTTAAGTTATGCTATTTATGGACATTTAGATCATTTCCAATCTTGCTATTACAAACAGGACTGCATGGAATAATTTTATTTGGTACAAGTAGAATTACTGAATCATAGGCCATGTGTATGATTTTGTTAAATACATTGCCATATCACCCTAAAGTGTCCTATAAGGACAATCTATACATCTACTCGGGAGTTCTGGTGGTGTAGTCTGTTGGGAGTTTTGCGGCTAACCCAAACGTGGCACCACTCTGGCAGTTCAAATCCATCATTGGCTCCATGCGAGATAGATGGACAATCTCCCATATGATTTACAGCCTCCAAAAACCCACTTGAGGTTTGGCTAAGAGTTGATTGATCTAGTTTGACTGCAGTATGAGTGTTATTCCTACTAGTAATATACATCAAACTTGTTTCTCTTCTCTTAGAAAGAGAAATTAGAATCTTTCCTTATCTGATAAGTGAAAAAAATAGTATCTCAATATAATTTCATTTTGTATTTTTAAAAAAGCTTATTAAAAGTATAATTTACAAACCATAAATTCACACATTATAAGGTTACAACACAATAACTATTATAAGGTAAAAATATAGCAACATAAATACATAGTTCAGTGTTTTTGGTAAATGTTGTCAAACTTTCAACGTAATCTAGTTTAGAACATTTTCATCACCCAGAAATTTCCCAAGTGTCTCTTTATAATCAATCCCTACTCTCCACCCAAGTCACAATTAAGCAACCCTTAATTTGTTTTCCATTTCAGTATTGGGTTTTCTGTATATTGCATGCACATAGAATCAAGTAATATGTTACTGGTTTTGAAAAATAGTACTTTATTGGATTTTTGGTGAAAATTTACCTTGCAGATTAAGTACTAATTTGACAATATCTACACAAACCCTGGTGGCCTGATGGTAAGAAGCTACACTGCAATCCCAAAGGTATGGGGTTTGAGGCCACCATCTGCTCCACAGGAGAAGGATGGGCAGTCGCCTTCTCAGCACTTAACTGTCTCTGAAAGCCTGCCAGAGGGTCAGCTGTGGGTCAGTTCCAGCTCTGTGGTACACAGCAACAACAACAACACAAATTATTTAGTGAAATGTCAGTTACATTTCCACAGTAAATCAGCCTTCTCTTTGTGTCTTGGTTTTTTGCTTCTAGGACCTTAGCATTTTTGCTTTAGAGCAATGGCTGACCTTTTGATCATCTATAGTTGTGTGCCCTAGAGTTGGAACTGACTCATAGCTGCCCCTCCAGCAGATTTCCTTCCACAGAGCAGCTGGTAGATTTGAGCTGTATGCCTTTGGGATTGCAGTACAGCTTCCTAGCACTATTTTGTTGTTAGATGCTATCAAGATGAGTACCTCTTATACTTACTGTGCTGTAAACAATAGATCTGAAGTCTGTCCCATCCTGCACCGTCCTCATCATTTCTGACATAAGTGAGCCTGTTACTGCAGTCACTGTGTCAGTCCATCTCATTGAGGGTCTTTCTCTCCTTTGCCTTTCCCCCACCTTGCCAAGCATGATATCCCTCTTTAAGGAATAGCCCCACCTAACAACATGACTGTTGTGTGAATGGAGCAGGGGATCGATCACGGCATGGTTTGGAATTGGGAAGGGAGTGTGTCAGAGTTGTATTTTCTGCCATAGCTATTCAATCTGTATGCTGAGCAAATTATACAAGAAGCTAGACTCTATGAGGAGGAGTGTGGCGTCAGGATTTGAGGGAGACTCATTAATCTATGCTTGCTGAAAGTGAAGATAGCTTGAAGTACTTGTTGCAGAAGATCAAGGAATGCAGTCTTCAGTATGGATTGCGTCTCAATGTCAAGAAAACGAAGATTCTTACCACTGGCAGTGTCATGATATATTGAAACTGTCAACAGCTTCTTCTCGTTTGGATCCACATTTAACATCCTTGGTTCAGCAGTCAGGAAATAAGGAGACACATTGCACTGGGAAAATCTGCAGTTAGGAACCT